TGGATGTGATTGATTATAAAGCCGGGATCCCACGACTCGTGTGTAGGTATTTSACGAATATCCACGAATACTCGAATAATCGGCAATAAGTTACCGACAAYGCGCAGGGAGTTGGTGAATTACGAATAACGAATATCGGATAGCAAATATTCGTACAAGTAGGTACTACTCGGCGAGTATACACGAATAGCAAATATTTGTCAAATACACGAGTCGTGGGGTTCTTTGCTTAACTGCAGATAACCGACCTAAGAACTGTATTATATGATGTCAAAAAATATTTTTATTGTGATAAAATGTAAATGTGATGTACCTATGTAGTCAATTTTAAATATGTTTATGATAAATAATATGTGGTATCCATTAATGCATTATATAATATAATATTATTATGTTTTATTATTGATGAAGACAATATTCCTATCTCAGTCTTGAGAAAAAATGTTGTTTTTTCCTTGTTAAATCCCTAAATCATATATTTAATTTATCTTTATCCACTGGTATATTTCCAAATATTTGGCAAAAATCTTTTATCACTCCTATTCATAAATCTGGCGATATAAATAATGTAAGAAATTATCGATCAATTGCCAAAATCTTGATTATTCCCAAGATGTTTGAGGYTATTAGATATATCAAAAAAATATCAACTTTACTAACCAATTATATTAGCTCCACACAACATGGAGTTTTAGCTATGCATTCAATTTTTACTAATCTAATAACTTATCATAATTACTTAATAACCTCATTAAATTAAGGTTACCAAGTCGATTCTATTTATTATTTACGCTGACTYTGAAAAAGCTTTCGATAAAGTACATCATTTACTATTGTATCATAAATTAGAAGTGTTTGGAATAGGAGGAAATTCCCTTACTTACTTTTCCTTTCTTAGTCATAGAACTCAAGCTGTTAAAATATCTTTTTTTATTTCTACTGATAATCCCGCATTATCAGTTGTCCTACAATGGTCTCATTTGAGACACGAGTGCGCAATTTTTCTTTTTTTGACCCGACTAATTATACCACGATTGTGCCCCGATCCTTTTTTACCTGTTAAAATCACAATACCATTGCGCACCAAATGATACGTGTATATATTAAAATAATATAGTACCATATATACTATATAGTATATATCATAGTATATGCTATGTATAATAATTTATGTAGAACATAAAATAATTAATCAATTAAATAAAAAATAAATAATTAATTCCCAATTTTCCTTATATATTATAAATTATATTAAAGTCAATACCTACCCAATATTATTTGTTTTTCGATATTATATTATATATTATATCAAATTAAATGAGTAACAACTTTTTACTTCATTGGTTTTTATTTTTAATCTTTTCATAGGTATGTACTCTAATGACTAATTCGTAGTTTTATACCTCGCATCCATCTACTTTCCAAGTAATAAACATATTATTAGGTATTCAAACTGAAACCTATTTAAAAATAGTCAATAGTCGATATTTTTTTTGTTCATATAAAAATAATCCGTTATACATTTAATAATAAAATTATAAAAATTACATTTGGTGACTAGCACAAAAACATGGCCCCATTGATTGAAAATAGTCATTCATTGATATTTTGTTGTTTTTAAATTTTTTGCGCAATCGTGGTGTAATTAGTCGGGTCAAAAAAGGAAAAATTGCGCAATCGTGTTGCACCGTTTGAGACCTTTATTATTTTTAATATTTATAAATTATAAATGATTTGCCACTAGTTCTCGAACCTTCCATCAATTACTTTTATATGTGGATGATGCGAAAATATTTTTTGAAATCAGATTAAATTCAATAAATTAATTAGATCAACATAGTTTACAAACTACCAGACCGTCGTCTATTGGCCGATGATATGGTTTTAGGTTAATTATTTTCAAAAAAAGGACAATTTTATTATAATAAAATTTTAGTACATAAAACTATAATTGATTATATAAATACGATTTGATAACAGTAATAACAATTATTTATTTCAAAATTATGGATTCAATCGTTTTTAATCGTTTTTGTGATTTTCACTCATTTTTTACGTTTGAGTCACCGACTAAAAAAACAGCTGTGTGACATGTACATTTTGTATGAGAACACCACACAGTGGTGACAGCTATTTTAAATCATTTAAAAACATGACTAATTAGGTAGTAATTATACCTACCGCACAGAGTTTTATATAATCWACTAATAAAGATAATGAAATAATAACATAACTATACGGTTAACGGAGTATTAAATGATCGAATTTATAGTCTTACATTTAAATGATCTGTTTTAAGTCTACCTAATAGGAGTGAAAGGATCTGAAAAAGATAACATCTAAAAATTTTTCTTCTAATTAAGTATATATTCTGTCCTTACAAATTTAAAATAATAAAATTTCATTTCAGGTGATGTCCTGTTAGACTTAAAACACTTAATTTAAATATGGCTATAAATTCGGCCATTTGATCATTTTTTTTTCTTTGCGTTATTTTTCTGCCACCACATTCAGAAATTACCACGTACCTACGTGAAGTTAATAAATGGAAAATAAAAATAATAAAACAGCCAAAAGTGAATTATGGAATACTAGCTGACGATCAAGAAACTTATTTATCTATTATATAATATTTTATATATTTATATTATATATTTTGTAATAATTGGTTTGTATTGATATACTATTTAAAAGTACTAAATTTCTTCATTATTATGATTTTTGAATACAAAATTTATAATATCATAACATAAAATATATCATAAAATTATCCAGTTGAATTGGTATAGATAGATAAATGAAGTTTTAAGTTGTGTATATACCGTCCGCTGTCGAGCACGCACGTTACTACGTCGCACACGCAATTACTATCAGTTTTATTATATAATTATGTTCACGTGTTTAACACGATAGGTAATACGCAGACCGGCAGACCCATCTGTCATGTCCCGCGCTACTATTCAGAAGTCGACCAAACGGAATTTGTCGTCCTCCTCTTCGTCAAATCTCGATACAAGTCTAAGGGCAAGATGTACCGTCTACGGTTAAACTTCGATTATGCTTAATCAGCTGATATTTGATAACAGATATTTGACCGTGCAAATTCGGCTGATTAAACTCCGGTTAACTTTAATCAGAGATGGTACCTACAACTAGCCCTAAAGAAAAGCAAGTCTTATGTGGCGTCAAATCGGTTCGCTCCCCTCTCCGTGGTTGACAACCTCCCCGAGGTTTTTAGTCCCCCTCCCCTACCGTCACAGTCTCTCTTTCGGCTCGGCATGAACCTAGTACGCCACCATCAGTGACAATCCCAGTGATGGAAAAGTCGRGGTTACGAGCATGCCAGCACCGCCAATTGCTATAAGTAATGTTACTCACTACTCCTCGTTGAAGCAGATTTTATATCTCTGGTTGGTACCGATGGCTTTACGGTTACCGCCAAAAGTTCCTCTCTAATTATCAAACCTCGTAATTTTGATGGTTACAAATAACCTTGTSGAATATTGCAACGACTCGGATTTAGAACGCCATATATGTGGGCACCTCGTCATATCCATCACCCTTTCAAAGTGTTTATCCTTTTATCCGCATTCTGCGTCATACTATTCCTGTTGAAGATAAAGAGAGCGCCCTCCGGGATTTGGGCTTCTCGATCATAAGTGAGCTAAACGTCCGCCGCCGAATTAGCAAACAGGCTATACACCATTATTCACCGTTGTCCTAGAAACTATGGATGTTAACCGTAGCATCTTCCAATTATCCTTCCTCCTCWACTCCAAAATAATCGTCGAAAAACTGTTATCCCTTCTCAATGCAAACAATGCCAGCGATACGGTCACACTCGCSCTTACTGTAGTGAATCACTACGTTGTGTCAAATGCGGCAACAACCATTACACCATTGACTGTGTAAAATCTTCGGAACTGCCTGCGAATTGTGCGTTATAATATATATTACATACATGTTCTGGCGCACATACCGCGATCTATAAAGGTTGTCATTAATTGTCCTTCGTTAAAGAAATTTTTGAACACCTATCATAAGTATGGCCACCTCAATACCATACCATTAGTGCACTCAGGGGTGATCTTGCCAGTCACAGCAGAGCCACAGTCCACGTACACCAGATACAAAGAAAAATCCAGAGACATACACAGAAGCAACTTCAAGCAAAACAATTCTAATAATGAATCTATATCAAATATTTTATAATTTGTTACACAATTAAATTCCCTCATTACCCCATTAATTTAATTTTTAATTTTTATCCACACTCTTAAACTCATTACTATCTAACAGGGCCGGATTGGTATATATTAGCGCATCGAGATTTTCACTTCTAAGCGGCCCATTTACATATTCACTGGCCCAGAATTTGGGTCTATTATTTTTTATTGGTTTATTACGTCTAAAATCGTTACGAACTTATTTACTTATCCTAACATGTATTTATTTTCACCCACACTCTGACACTAYCGGCCCTAACTTTAAGCGGCCCACCGAGATTTTCTCGGTAGCTCGCCTAACCAATCCGGCCCTGCTATCTAAGAATACCGTCTCTCCTTAACCCGAATTCAAAATCACAATCATTATTTTCAAATTAATACCTTTTGTATACTTATCGTTTAATCACCACAAATTTATATTGCCTCTATGTTATTTTAATTTTTGATTTTGGCTGATGTACTGTAATAGATGCCAACTATTATCTTAGATAAAAAAATAGATGACCAGTAGATTTTAATCTAGATAATATAATAGATAATGAAATTTACATCTAGATAAATTATTTATCTAGACAAGTCTCAACACATTATGTGTACATTGTCTATGAATGCACAGTCTACAACTACAATCTATAGTCAAATTAGTCAATGGGTAAATTAAAAATATAGAGTTCATTGGAATCATAAATCATAGATCTACGARGAAAATATATATTTATAATTCTATGATTGGAGTATATTATTATTATTCATTATCTGAGATAATTTATCTCTTATCAGCCGACATACTATGTTATCATTATCTTTTAAAACTTGTGAAATTCAAATGTTTTCGATGCGATCCAAATGATTCAGAATTTTAGAATGACGTCTTTACCCTGAAACTGTCTGTCGTGTCCAGGTGTCCATAGAGTATTACTCTATGGTCGTTTCTGAACTCTTTAGTATTACTACACTCGAACTTTTTTAGTTTCGTTCGATTTTACTAATACTGTTTTGCAAATATATGACATTATGAAGGTAGTCGTTCAACGTGTTTCAAGAGCCAAGATTTCAGGTAAATATTTACAGTATTATTTGTAAAATACTTYAATATGTTACAATGTCACTCTTCAAACCATAAAATGAGTTATAACTTATAAAAAATGTAGTTAAAATTAAAAACAATTAGTTCTTTAAATGTCTTTTTGATTTAATTTTGTTGTTTTTTTTCACAATTTTGTAATATTTGGTTGCATCTCATTTAACATTGCTTCTAAATACCAATAATTAATTTAAATTATTGAATGCATTTTAAAGAATATATTATGTTATTAGAATATTTAAGTAAAAATTATATTGGTACATACAAAATTCATAAAAACATTTTTTTTTAACTTAAAATGTTTGTGAAGTCGACAGTTTTTGTCTTTTATTCATCAGTT